AAAACTTATACAACAAAATGTTCAAGAACAAAAGATGAGAAAAAAACAATTAAAAGCGGCTCTTGCTGAGAGTCATCTAAATTCTCCTTCCAGCCCTTCACGTATGTCCGCTTCAGATATTTTTGATGCTTCATTTAAATTAGCCGATGATTCTTCTAATTTACCTGATGCTTATGGACAAAGAGTTTCAATGGAACAAGCTACTTCAATATTATCAATGTTGGCTGAGGATATTGATAATGATGAATTTTATGATGCTTTGGATAATTATGACGAAACACAAGAAGTTGTTAAATTAGATGACTCAGAAATAGTTACATTAAATAATTCTACTACTTATATTTCCAGTTCATATTGTGGTTATCCTGAATATATTCGAGAAAAACTTCCACTTGATGAATCTTCACGTCCTGAAGTTTCTTTATGGGCTATTTTAAAGAATTCAATTGGAAAAGATTTAAGTAAAATCACATTACCTGTGTATTTTAATGAACCAACTTCAATGTTACAACGTATGGCTGAAGATATGGAATATAGTGATCTTTTAGATATAGGTGCTCGACAAAAAGGAAGTACGGAGAGAATATTATATGTTGCAGCTTTTGCTATGAGTAATTACTCTAGTACTGTTGGTCGTATTGCTAAACCTTTTAATCCGTTATTGGTACATATTTTACTCTTTATTTTTTTTTTTAATATCAAATATACTTATTTATTTAAAATAGTTTTTTTTCGTATTTTCGTATTGTCGTATTGTCGTATTGTAGGGTGAAACTTATGAATATGTAAGACGTGATAAAGCTTTTCGATATATTTCAGAACAAGTTAGTCATCATCCGGTAAGTTAACTTTTTTTAATTAACGTCTAGTCAACTTAATGTCAGTTACATTAACTAATTAAAGATTTTATGATATTAAAATTCATATAGCCAATAAGTGCATGCTATTGTGAATCCATGAATTTTGATTTCTTTGCTGAAGTAGATGTTAAATCAAAGTTTTGGGGAAAATCATTTGAAATTCATCCACAAGGTGTTTCACATGTTAGACTAAAAGTACCGACAGAGTATTGGCCAAGTGAAGTTAACGGAACACCAGAATCATTTATTGCTAATGGAAATCCCAGAGCATTTTCCGAACATTATTCATGGAAAAAAGTTACGACCTGTGTGAACAATTTAATATTGGGAACTCCATGGATTGATCATTATGGAGATATGATTATTACCAATCATTTAACAGGAGATATTTGCGTTTTAACATTTAAAGCTCGAGGATGGAGAGGAAAAGATGCATTTGAAATTAGAGGATATGTTAAAGATTCAAATAATAAAGAAGTATGGGAAATTGCGGGAAGATGGAATGAAAGATTAGTAGCAAGAAGAAGTGATGAAAGTTTATCAACCACAAATGATGATTTAGGTAGTACTTCTACCACAGTTAATGAAGCTCCAATAGATGAAATATTATTACCATCACCAACACATTCTTCAACTTCAATAAATACAAGACCAATATATTTATTATGGAAACGAAATTCATTACCTGAAGAACCTTTACCATTTAATCTTACACAATTTGCAGCTACGCTTAATGATTTACCAGATAGTTTATTAAATTGGATTGCACCTACTGATAGTCGATTTCGACCTGATCAACGTGCAATGGAAAGTGGATTATACGATTTAGCTAGTTCTGAAAAAGTTCGATTAGAAGAAAAACAACGTGGAAAAAGAAAAAAGAGAGAAAATGGCCTTTTAAATGATCATGAACCTAGTTGGTTTACTCGTGATATTGAACCTGATACAGGTGAAAAATATTGGAAATTTAATAATGAATATTGGAAAGAAAGAGATCGAACTGGAAAAGAAAAATCGGAAGGAATTGGTGAAGGGAAATGGAATATTCCTGATGATGATATTTTTTAAATTGAACAATTATTATATCAATTCGGTTTAGATAGATCTCTGAACTTTAAAATTTTTTTTTTGATTTTAAGATTGATGAGCTATAGTTTGGGATTGGGTTTGTGATGACGTTCCGGGGTTAAATTTATTTATAGAGTGTGTAAAAAAAAAATAGTAGCACATACTTTTTATTATAAATCATAACATTTTGTATACTTTTTTATAAAATTTGTTTCGTTTTTTTGATGAAAAATCACTTGAGATATGAGGTCATTGTTGAATATAAAGTGCGTACGTATGTACGATATGTATATAATAAAATTGTCAACTTTTATTTATCAATACTAATCAAAGCTCGTAATAAACCTTTTATAAAAAAAAAAAAAAAAAAGAAAAAACCACATCGCAAATTCGTTATGTTTACTTGCCTATTTTTTATTTTATTCATATCAGATGAGTGCGTGAAAATGGAAACCTGGAAACAGATTTAATGATTTACTATGATCGGTTTCCAGGTCTTCACCCTCACGCACTCGTATATTTCATATATTCAACCAATTTCCTTATTTGGAATGATGCTAAAGCGAAGCAATTAAAATTAGGATTAGAGTTGTTCGGAGGTTAAGGATTGAACAAGTATACGTATTATAGGTGAAATTGCTCTTCTGACATTTTTTTATTAGTGTTTCAAGACAGGTTTAGATACTTGTTTGTATTTTTTTTTTTTTTTTTTTGTTTTTCTTTGTGATATAGACCACCAAATTTGATTAGTTAATTTATGTGGGTTGTCTAAAAAACATAAAAGAATAAGATCACGTGTCGCGATAAGATATTACATATAAATAAACGGAAAACACCAGGGACACAGAAAATTTCATATGTATATAGATATGAATAAAACGGAATTTTTAGTACAAAACGGTATAAAATGGAATTTTTGACAGCAACGAATTTGTGTGCAAAATTAAGAGCAGTATATGTTCAATTTGGGCCAAGTAATATAATTAGGAACGGCAGAAAGGTTATCACTGAGCTCAACAGCTAGAGGCCTGCATTGGGTCCCGAAGCCCGGGCCTAACAATTAAATTTTGTAATTGCGGGCCGGGCCAGGCCTAAATTTTATAATTGTGGGCCAGGCTAGGCTGGGCGGGTTAGATCAAATTAAATTTAATAATTATCTTGATAACTACTTAATTGAATCTAATAAAAATTTTTTTATTTGAATTCTATAGATCCATAAAATTTAAATAAAAAAT